CTTCATATCATTAAAAACAAAAATAAGGCCCTCTTTGCAAAATAGATTTGGAGATACCAAAGTGAAAAAACAGCCCTTTGGAGAAAGGTGATTGATGAAAAAGATGGGTTTCGTCTTGGAACGTACACACAAGAATGCCCTCTCTAGCTACTGCCCATGGCTCGTGGAAAGTGACTATCAAGCTACAGAAGCTGATCTTTAATAGAGTATTCTTCAAAGTTGGAGATAGGGCTCACACATTCTTTTTGAATGACATTTGGCTGATAAATGAATCCCTTGCAAGAAGATTTCCTCTCCTTTTTGCCTCATCTGTTAAAAATTTGCTGCTACGGCGAACTTTTGGTCTGTTGAGGATGTTTTTTGGAACTTAAGGTTTAGAAGAAATTTTAAGGATGCTGAAATCAAGGAATTGGCTTCACTCTTGCGCCATCTATTTGATAGGAATGCAGGGAATGTTTTTGGGTAATTAGGGTGTTAGTACTTAGTTAGGGATTTTTTTTTTCTCCTTTTCATATATCAATGAAAATTGTTTGTGGTTAAATGTTAAATAGTGGAATTGTTAGGAGGATCTATTATAAACAAAGTGAGTGGGAAATGATTGAAGTAGATTGTTAAGTGTAGTTTAGACTTGAGTAAGAATACTCAAGAGAGGGGAGAGTCTAAGTACCTTGAATTGAGTCATTGTGATTGTTCTATCTTTTATATTTCAATATATTTATTTATTTATTGTTTTTTTTTCCTTTATTCCTTTTTTTGTTTTTTTGGATAAGAAATCTGTATATATTAACAAAAAGGGAAATGCTACCGTTACAAAAGAATTTGTAGTAATTGAGACGCCACCACAAGTAGGTGTGGTGTACATTTTCTACAAAAATCATCAAAAGTAGGCTTTATCTTCAAAGATGGGACGTCCAACAAGATATTCCAAGAGCTTTAGCATCACAATTCCACAAAACCTTGGCTTTTCTAGGCAAAGCCCAACCCCCCAAACTTGAGACAACCCCCCGAACTTGAGACAACCCCCCTCGGTGTTAAAAACATCCGGCAGAAAATTCCACCATCCAGCAGCAAAAGTGCAATGAATAAAGAGGCGATCCTTGGACTCCTCGCTCCTAAGACATAAGCTACACACCGAGGGAGAAAGAACCCATCTCCTACACTTTTTTTGGAGCACATCAGAGTATTTAAATTTCGATAAGCCAAAGACCAAAGGAAAACCTTGTCTTTCTATGGAATTCTAAACTTCCAAATCGAGGGAATAAAAAAAAACTTCTGTGTAGGAACACACTCCGAGAGCTTCAAAAACGCAGACTTAGTTGTGAACTTCCCCCTTCCTCTAGCGCCATAGACCTTATCATCCTCCTCTACCAGCCTAACCGCATCCAACATATCAATTAGGCACACCCGACTGTCCACCTCCATATCAAACAGGTCTTTTCGAATATTTCAATATATTTTTAGTTGTTTGGGTTCTATCACTATCCTCTCATCAGCTTTCTCTAGCCTTAGCTAGATAGATGCACTTGGAATTTGGAACCCTCCGGAATCTTCTCCACAAGCTCCCTTGCGTGATTTTGTATGCCCCAAGCTGGATGAGCCTCCCCTCCCCTCCCCCTCCTACGAGTCAATCTGGAACGATCACTATCCAAAGAAAGTGACATTCTTCCTTTGAGAGGTGAGCCTCAAAGGTATAAACACCTTTGACAAGCTTCAACACAGGATGCTTTACATGAGCATCTCATCACACTAGTGTATCTTGCACAAGAAAATTAATGAATCCCAAGGCCATATTTTTGTCACTCGTGATTTTACTTCAAGGTTTTGGAGAAGGATCCTCTCTTCTCTGGATGGTCTATAGGCTTATTTTTTTCTGTCTTTCACTCTTGCAGGAACCCCTTTATGAAGGAAAAGAAGATCTTATGGATGCCTTTTGTTAAGGTCTTTTCTTGGACTACATGGATAGAAAAGAACCAAAGAATTTTCCAAGATAAGGAGCTCTCTTTTGATCATTTTTGTATTCTGTAGTTTCCTTGGTCATTACATAGTGTAAATGCTCCCCTTTCTTTCATCATTATAGTTTTTCTTCTTTCAGGTTTTTTTGTAACTCCCTTGAATTGGGGCCTCCCCTTCATTTGTAATTTCAGTGGTTTCTTTTTAGAAACAAAAAGAAAAGAAAAGAAAGGAAAATAAAAGAGTGACGACTTTTTTAATTATTATTTCTTTAGTATCAAACACGTGTACACATTCCTATAAAACTAATGAGCAGTAAAAAACAGAAACTCGTTTATATGCATGAATGGCAGCCCATTCACAAGTAAGGAAAAAAAATCTCTTTTGAGAGAGTCTATTTTGACAGATTGCTACACCGAAGGTGATAGGGCTTGACCTCACCATCATGCTCCAGAGAAGGGCAAGCAGACAGCAGTTTGCTGACTCGTTCTTCGAGCCCTGCTTCTACCTCGACGATATACTTTTCCGAGAAGGGCAAGCAGACAGCAGTTTGCTGACTCGTTCTTCGAGCCCTGCTTCTACCTCGACGATATACTTTTCAAATCCAAGATAGGATAAGGACACTCAGAAGCTCTATAAAGGGAGCTACGTCAGAAACTTGCACCTCATGCAAACTGATGTTTCTTAAAGGGGCATGCCTGGGCCCGTGACACTCCCAAACCGATTGCTATTGTTTTCTTGTGAAACTCCTTAAGAAAACCATTCAATTGACATTTTTATAAATGTTAAATTTGCACGTTTTTATCCATTTTTAAGTGTTAAATATATCGATATAAATGCATATATTTTTAAAAAATGGAAAAAAGTATTCCTAATGTGTCCATGTTATACGTTTTTAGAAATTGGTGTGTCGTGTCGATGTTGTCTGTGTTCGTGTTTGTACTCTCTCTTCGTGGGTGGATCTCCCTTTTGTATTTTCATTTACTTCCAAGAGAAGTTTGTCTTACTAGGCCGCATTACTACCACAATCTTAGTTTATTTTTCAATAGTAGTCGTGCGAGGCTCCATATAAAGGTTTCAAAGAGAGATTGATCCAACGTTTTAGGTAAATGAATGGGGAACTACTAACAAGAAAAGTGAGAAAATGCGACACTACATCGCTAGTTCAATCGTTTTCCATTGCTTAGGATTTTGGATGTAACTGCTAAGGTGTTGTATTGTTTCATGCTGCAACCCTCTACCTCTCACTGATGAAGCATAGGTACTGATGCCAATTGCCATTGAAGCTTATATGTTAGTTCACAAATGCTATTATACTAGATCAAATATTGATCTGGATGAGAACTGAGATTCTATATAGTTTTTTCTTGATCTGTCTTCATCTCGTAGTTATCTTTTCTCAGGTGCAGCTTCTAGACACGATGTACTTGCCTAGTCATTACAGAAAATTCATTAACGAGCTTGAAGCAGGTATATCAAAGGCATTTCCTTCTGTATATTTTGATCATAGACAATTCTTTATGAGCATACTCCTTTGGAAATGAAATGTTATTGTTTTTTCATCATTAAAAAAATGGTTTTGTTCTTTAGCTGTATGAGATTACTTGGAAAAGGAAATTGCATCTTCTCAAGGGCCATGTTTAGGAGCCATTTTTAGTTGTGCAGAAAGGCACTAATGAATGAAGATACATTGAACTCCAAAACAAAAGTAAAATACGGATAGTATGGTAGAATCTCTCTTTCGCACTCACAAAATTTTTTAATGGATCTGAGATTTCATGTGCACTTTAAATAAAGAAGGCATACGGAACGGGTTAAATGGAGAAGTTATGGTCTTAGTTGAAAAGTTATGTTAAAAAAGTTTATAAGGCTTGTAAAGTGGTTTGTTCTCCATCCATAGAGATAGTAAAAAGGTTTTCTATGAAATTATTAACTATGAGAATTTAAATTCAAATATTTTTTTATACAACATGTGGAGTATTTTGAACTCATGACCTCTTAGTTTATTGAAGGTAATATGACAACTATTTTAAATAATCACTTATTTTTAGACAAAATCTACCCTAATGTTAATAAAGAAAATTGACCCAAATAATTACATTTTTTGTAAGGTATAACTTTTTTTTTTGAAAGTCAGTTATAACCCATCCATTTCTATAGTAACGAAATTTCTCAAAAAAAAAAAAAAAAGGTTGTAGTAACAACTAGATAATTAATTAATTTAATTGGAAATTTTATTCTAGATGTAATTTACATGTCCTCTAGTACATAAATTATGTCTTTAAAGAAACGAGTTAATACAATCATCGATCTTAGGTAAGTTCTAATTTCATTAATTTCAACACGAATCCAAAAAATAATTTATTTAAAAAAATATAATATCATTTATTTTAATTAGATTTATCTATTAGACGATAACTTTTTTTGTTTGTGTATATTTCTTTTAAATTGTAAACAAATATTTTAATATATAATGATCATTAACATCCTACACTTATTTGGAGTTTAATAAATCCTAGAGCTTTAAAATTATTTAATAAATCTTTTAATTATTTATTTTGTGTCTTATGTATCTCTCAACTTTCAAATTTGTGTTAGATGCCATTGACCAATTTAAAATTTAAAAAAATTATAAATTTATTAGAGATGATATTGAATTTTGTCTAAAAGTCCAAGTCTATAAAATCTTTAATAAGTTGAAATTCGTTGGACATTGAAGGTGGACATATTAAACACAAAGTTGGCCCATTTATAACGTTACTATTTTCATTATTTGTTTCCTATTTTATTAAGAAATTTAAGCATTTTAGTAACTATTTATGTTTCTAATTTCTCATTTTTTAAAAAATATTTTTTAAATTGTATAGAAATTTTAAGGAAAAAAAAAACAAATTTTTTATTTATGGTTACTTTTTCATTTGTTCCAACATAAAAATTCTTGTAATTTAGCTTGAAAGAATGATGATGAACATGAATAAAGTAACTTTCCATTACCATAAGGCTTGATTGATATTTTTCATTAAAAAAAGGGTGAAATTTTTCAATTTCGAAGTAATTCCTTTTTGCACCATTTCAAACGTCTATCGCCAGTTCCACCGATCTCAAAATTCCAGTTGTCGATCATGTAGGAGAAAAATTTGTAGGTTTTATGACAGAATCGAGAGCTTGAAAAAAGAAAGAACCCATCTGAATTTTGACCATTTTGATTTTCATTTCTGTTGTCGTCGTTATCTTCCCTGGTGGTGTTGTTTTTAGCGCGCGACAGTGAAATGAATCACAGGAAATCGAACATCGCATGGGAAATCAACCTCAGTTTCTTCTCCCTTCTTCCTCGCTGTTCATTGGCCGCTTTTCTGCAAATGGTAGTTTCTCTCTCTAAAAATCAATCTCTCTTTTTCCCACCACTTTTTCGCCGATTTTTGGATGCTTTCTTCTATCGCGTGAACATGTGGGATTCATCGGTTTCACTTCCCTTGCAGAAATCTGCAAGAACTTTGCCAATTAGCCCCAAACATACCAAATCCAATACCCAACTCAGAGATATCTCTCCATTTATTGCGTTTGTTTTGGTGTTGATTTGGTATCCTTATATGGAAATTGGACTCGACCCTCTCTGGATGCTATGCATTCTATTTATCCTGTCTGTGGTTTTCAATGTTGCGTACAAATGTACACAGGCCGTGCGAATAAAAGTTTTTCGCGACTCCCATTTTTGGGAACTTCGAGGGGAGAAGAGAAGTCGTAGTTCTTTCGTTTAGTTGGGATTCTACTGGTGGGTCAGGATGGATTTTGTGATGGAAGGTCGTGGGGGTAATGGCGCTGGCTCAGGTGATGAACAAGAAGCTTCTAACGATCGCAAGGGGAAAAAGTCTTACCATCGCCATACCCCTTACCAGATTCAGCAACTGGAATCGTAAGGAAACTCCAAAATTCTCTCGCCTTTCTTTGCATGTAGTTTATCTGTGTATGCTTGTGTGTAGTTCAGTTGTGATTCCCTTGTTGTTTGTCTCTGCTCATTTCAGCTAGTTTTTTAGTTTTTATATAGATTTTTCTGCCTCCCCTTGAGTGTTTATACGTTGTTTTGGGCCCTTCGTTATTTCCTATTGGTGTTTTCTGAAGTTGCATGTTGAATCTGTGCCATTGTTTTGGACCTTCCCTTTGTACTATAAATGAAATCAATATTTTGTATCCTTCTCGTACCTAAGGAGTTTCTGCGGGAATCTTGGTTTCAACAATCTGGTCTCTCCTTGTTTGCCTATGGATGTCTGTCCTTCTAAAATTAATGAAACTGTTTCTGTCTGTATCGTAGATTTTTCAGGGAATGCCCGCACCCTGATGAAAACCAGCGGCGGCAGCTGAGTCGAGAGCTTGGTCTTGAGACCAAACAGATAAAATTCTGGTTTCAAAATAAGAGGACTCAGACAAAGGTAGACTAGATATTTCCAGGTTTGTAAAGAAATTGGTTGTTTTTAGTTACCCCGTTCAATTGAGCTCTTTCTTCCTCTTTTACAGGCACAGAACGAGCGGGCGGACAACTCTGTGCTTCGGACAGAGAATGAAAAGATTCAATGTGAAAATCTTGCAATTAGAGAAGCATTGAGGAATGTTATCTGTCCATCCTGTGGAGGTCCACCTTTTGGAGAAGAAGAACGGCAGCGGAATCTCCAAAAACTGCGTCTTGAAAATTCTCACTTAAAAGAAGAGGCTAGTTTCGATGTTTGGAAGTTGAATTTCCAATAATTTATTATCTTTTCATAATATGGATGCATTAAGTGCAATGGTTTTGATTCTGATCGTTTTGCAGCATGAAAAAGTGTCTAACCTTCTTGCCAAGTACATTGGGAAACCAATATCACAACTTGAATCACTATTGCCGGTTCTTGGATCTTCGCTAGATTTATCACCAAGAAGCTCCCTTAACCAACGAGTTGGAAGTCCTGCAGTTGATCTTATTCCTGATCCTGTAATATTAAATGGAACAGCAACACCCTACCAATCAAGAGGTATTAACGATTTGGAAAATGCACTTATGTTGGAAACTGCTACAACTGCCTTAGAAGAGCTGATCAGACTTTTGAGGATTGATGAGCCTTTGTGGACGAAGACCCCTAATGATGGAAGGTATATTCTCCATCGTGACAGCTATGACAAAATATTTCCTAGACCCAATCACTTCAAAGCAACTAGTGCTCGGACCGAATCATCGAAAAATTCAGGAGTGGTGACAATGAGCGCAATGCAATTGGTTGACAGTTTTTTAGATGCGGTCAGTATCGATAACTATTAATTCCTGATATATCTAGTGAATTAACTGTTGTTTCCATTCTTGGAAAGATATTTAATCCGACAATTGGTTCTATTACACAGGATAAATGGGCAGATCTTTTTCCAACTGTCATTATAAATGCGGAGACACTTCATATTATTGACCCCGGGATGCCTGGAAATCGCAGTGGCACGTTACAGTTGGTATGGAAATCGTTATCCACGTTTTTTTTGGTTCATGTTCAGCCTTTTTATTTCTACTCGAAAAGGTAGAAAGTGAAAGTTAATAAATGCAGATGTATGAACAAATGCACGTCTTTTCACCCCTCGTGTCGCCCCGGGATTTCTGCTTCCTTCGACATTGTCAGCAGATTGAGCTTGGTGTCTGGGTAATAGTGGATGTTTCCTATGAAATCTTGAAGGATTGCATCACCTCCGCCCGCTGCTGGAGGCTTCCTTCTGGGTGCATGATTCAAGAAATGCCCAATGGGTGCTCCAAGGTTCTTAACTCCATTCATTAATTGATCTTTTCCAACTTTTATGGATTTTTAGTTTTAATTAATGCTGCTGGACACTAGTGACTGTAAAGTTGCATCTGACAGATTTTTAAGTCATTATTCCTTCAGATGAAAATGTCAACATTAATATCCATGAAACCATTGCCTTGGGATCAACTTTTTCTCTTCCCTCCTGTTTTACACAAATAAATTTCCTTATGAAGGTACTCCATTGAATGAAAGCATAAATATGTTCCATTTCGAGCCGACATCCTTCTAATACGACATAATTGGTATGTCATGCAAGAATATCCATGCATTCGACATGTTTCGAAGACCGTTAGAAATTATTTATGACCTACTTTATTTGCCCGAAGTCACTTAGGTCGCTCGATGTTAGCCGTTTCAGAAACATAGTCACTTATGTAGGTCGCTCGATGTTAGCCGTTTCAGAAACATATTATTTGATTAATTTTTATGCAGTAGCCAGCCATTTGTTCCTTAAAATATGTACTCTTATCTTGAAATCATACATCTTCATTGGACAGCTTACCTGGGTTGAGCATGTGGAAGTGGATGATAAAACACAGACCCACCGGCTCTATCGAGATGTTGTGTTCAATACCACAGCGTATGGAGCCGAACGATGGGTTTTCACTCTCCAAAGGATGTGTGAGAGATTGGCTTACACATTCAGGGATTCTGTACCTGGCCATGAACTTGAAGGAGGTAGAAGTTTACCTTTGGTTTATGCTTTGTTTGATTCGGTGATTGAAAACAACATTCCCCTCCATTCATCAAACTCCAAGTTTTAATGAATGTGTCTGTTTCAGTGTTTACTTCTCTTGAAGGCAGGAGGAGCATCATGAAGCTGTCACATAGGATGGTTAAAAATTTCTGTGGTGTACTGAGCATGTCAGGTAAATTAGATTTCCCGCAATTATCCGAAGTGAACAATAGCGGCGTTCGAATCTCTGTTCGGATTAGCACGGAACTGGGGCAGCCCAGTGGCACCATTGTTAGTGCCGCAACTTCTCTTTGGCTTCCCTTACAACCCGAAAGCATCTTTAACTTCTTCAGGGATGAAAAGGCCAGAGTTCAGGTTTGTAATGCCATACACTTCTTTTTCTGACTTGTTTCATTAATAAAGTGGACTAATCTACATTTCATTTTCCAGTGGGATGTTCTCTCAAATGGAAACCCAGTTCATGAAATTGCACACATCTTAACTGGAGTTCATCCGGGAAACTCGATATCGATAATTCGGGTAATGTCCTCTTATGATTTCTGCCATTTGCAAACCATAAGAGAAACTAATTCAAATGCTCTAGAGTTCCAGTTTCATACTTCTGGAAATAGTTGGGTTTTCAGGGAAAAATGTCAGTGAAATCAACCAGAAAACTTTGGAATAACGTAACCATCTATTGCATTGTATATCATTAGATCTAAAATTATTAAGGTTTGATGGTTATTCATTTGGATGATTTCCGAAGCAGCCATTTGTCCCGACCGAGAACAACATGCTGATTCTTCAAGAGAGCTGCACAGATCCGCTAGGATCATTGGTGATATATGCGCCCGTCGACATGCCTGCAATGAACGTTGCAGTAAGCGGTCAGGACTCATCCGAGATACCGATACTTCCATCAGGGTTTGTAATCTCAGGGGACGGCCGAGCTCACTTGGGAGGTGGAGCTTCGACCAGTGCAACCTTGGGGAGGCCGAGCGGGTCGCTGTTAACCGTAGCGTTTCAGATATTGGTGTCCAGTGTATCATCTTCAAGACAGCTGAATGTGGAGTCTGTGGCAACGGTGAATACTCTTATTAGTGCCACAGTTCAGAGGATAAAGGCTGCATTGAATTGCTCTGGCTTGGATTGATTTCTGCGTTGTGTTTGTTTTTATGCTCAAAATGAAATGGTTAGAACTTGTTGGGTCAATTTTTTATAAGCAGTTAGTTGCTTAAATTAAAAACTTCTCTGTTTATTTAMTTTTAGTTTGATGGATTCTTTTCCTTAAAATTCGAGTATGTGGCAAATATTGTAACCATTTAATAACATTATAATTTGAGTACATGTTGCTAAATATACACTTATTTAATGAGAGCTCAAAATAAAAGTTAAGCTAACAAAACATTAAAAAAATTAATGAAACATTTTAATGGTCGGAATCTGTCATTTAAAAAAAAAAAAGAAATTAAGCACCTAAATAGAATTTTCATAAAAACTTTAAGGGCAAAATATATTTTTGGTTCTTGAAGATTTGAGGTAGGTGTCAACTTGGTCTCTGAAATTTTAAAATAAACATTTTTGGTCCCTGAAGTTTGAGAAATAATTCTAAATAGTCATTGATTTTTTTTACTGTTAATGCTGATGTCACAAATTATATTAATTAAATTATATATGTCCGGTATGAAGGCGGCAAAGACGTGGTGGTAGCCTGAAAAGGGTAAGAGGAAGAGAGGAAAAGATGAGGAGCGGAGGGAGGAAGCACCATCGCCTACACGTATATTATTTAATTAATATAATTTGTCATATCAGCAACTACAATAAACAATTTAATTGCAATTTGTCACGTCATTTTAATATTAGTTAATTAACATTAAAAAAAGGACTATTTAGAACTATTTCTCAAACTTCAGGGATCAAAAGTGTTCATTTTAAAACTTCAGGGACCAAGTTGACACCTACTTTAAATCTCGAGGATCAAAAGTGTTCATTTTGAAACTTCAGGGACCAATTAGACACCTACCTCAAATCTTAAGGACCAAAAGTGTTCATTTTGAAACTTCAGAACCAAATAGACACCTAACTGACCAAAAATGTATTTTACCCAAAATTTAATATTTTCGTATCTATTGAGAATGTGAGGTGGTCATTTGTACATTGATTGAGGGAATTAATCTTTCTATAACACTATTAAGGATAGTTTTTTTAGGTAAACAAACTCTATTAAATTAGGAATTATAAAAAGTCACGTGTGCTACAGAATGAGACGATCCCCCACTCCACATGTTATACTAAAATAAAAAAGAAAACCGTAGCTAAACTATGGGTGGTCATATTTCCTCTTCTCGCGTGTAGGAATTGAATCGAAAAAAACTCATGAGCAATAGTCTTCTAGGTTTAACCTTTCTGTACGCTATTGTTACATTCTAGGAGTATGTATTGGAAGTGTTCCCCATCTCGATCTCGTTCAAACGGTAATTCATTTGCTCTGTTAGCCAATTGAGGCTATGAAAATGCAGTTTACTTCTAGGAGAAGAGTGTGCAACATTGGTACCTTAACAATGAACCTTCACAACATAAATAAGGTTATAAATCATTCTAAAGAAAAGTGGACATTCAATAGCACTATCTGGTTAATTATGTTTATTTGCACACAGTATATCTTCACCTTTTTCAAAAATGTATTTCAATTCGGAAAAAAAAAAAGTTTTCAAAAACTACTTTTTTTAGGTTTTTGGTTCTGATTTAGATTTCGAAAACATTTTTGAAAATAGGTGATAACAAAGAAATACATAAATGAAGGTAGCGTTTACCAACTGAATTTTCAAAAATAGAAAACTAAAAACAAAATAATTATCAAACAACTATTTTCATGTTTTAATCTCATACAAATTTGAAAATACTATAATCTATTTTTTCAAAATAAAAAAGTGCACTTTGGTTGGTCGTGTGAAGAAAAAGAAAAACGAGGCAACATTTTTTGGTTTGGAAGGTAAAGTCGAAAATGGCTGTCCCTTCCCTTAATATGGAAAATATTTAGAAGCCTTTTTTTTTTTTTTTTGAGAAAAAGCCTAATTTGTTGAAAAGCATTATGCTTCACTCTCATCTTTTAACTTTTGGAAATTTATTTATATTGTTTCCTTAATAATGAAATCAACAAAACGGATATCTAAAGCTTTGTTTGGTAACATTTTACAACATTTTTGTGTCTTTCGACAGAGAAACTAACTTCCTTCTTTGGAATATACCAATTTGATCCTATGTTCTTCAAAAATGCATAAAAGATTAAAAGACTTAAGTAACAAAATGAGACATAAATGAGCAAACAGATTTATATATTTCGTTCTCGATTCTTTGAAGTTTTGATTTCGTTTCTATGTATTCTTTTTCAATTAAGTCTTTGCTACCACAAAAGGTTAAAATTCATTAATGAAATAATGAGTGATATCAAAGTATTTTTATTAACCGAGTTGGGACTTCCGAGTTCCCCTTGTTTTAATTTAATGAAATAAATAGGCTAACTCCATAAAATGAAAAACTTACCTACCTTATTTAACTTGATCCATTACAACTTACCAACCAAAAATGACTTTCTTACCAAAGAAAATAAACGATTAAAAATTATACTAAACTAACAACTAACCGTCTCACAAAAAGAATCATCGCCTCAATATAGCTGAATGGTCAAAGTACATCTTATCTTTGAATAGTTGAAGGTTCGAATATTCACCCAAATATTTATGATGTAATATTCTAATTAAAAAAAACTCAAAAAAAGATTCCCCTTTAAATCCATGCCCTCGTTATTTTGATAGCTAGTAACACTAAGAGTGTTATTGAAAAAAGTTAATACACCATAGATGAAATTGAGAACTTTTCACTATTATAACGGAGAGCTTTGCTCGATTCTATTCGATATTGTTTAATGCTCACGTGATCACTTGAAGAAGTTCTCGATCGATGACATAATTGAAACTAATCTCGATCATCAATAAAAATTCAAGATGAGTCATACAACATCTTATTTTCTCTTGCAATAACGACAATTGCATAAATCTTCAATAGGAATTATTAGTTGATGCTTTGTTTGTTTGCTTGCTTTTCTTTTTTTAGTACTTAATGAAGTGGCTCAGTCTCATAGGACAGGTGGTGATAAAAAATACAAATCTAGTTACCAACTAAATATTTAGTTTAATCTAAAATAATATTAATTAATTTGTTAACAATTATGTTATAGATTTTGTATAATTATTATTTTACAATATTGTATAATTTATAATATATTATATTTTAAATACTTTAATTTTAAAAAAATTAAATGAATTTATAATATGAAATAATATATCTATCAAACTTTTATTTTCTTTTTTTATTTAATTCTACATTTAAACGTTTCAAATTCAAAATCTAAAAACATAAAGATGTTTAAAAATTTTCATTATTTCGATCACAGAATCTGAATACAGTTTTAAAAAATATATATTTCAAACGCTACCAAACACATATTTAGTGAATCCATTTGATTCAATGAATCTGAAAACAAAAAACATAATCAATCTAACCATGACTCAACAGTTAAGATATCTAAAACCTTCTCGTATGTCGAAGGTTTGAATCTCCAACTCACAATTACAATGTTGGTTAGGAAAAAAAAAACAAAGAAAATATAAAACAATGTACCACAAAATCCTCCAACATTTTTTTTTCCTGAGTTAAACATGTAGAGACAAGAATTTGAACCTACGACACCCATTGGTCGAGAACATATGTCTTGACTAGTTAGTTTAACTAGTCAAGACATATGTTCTCGACCAATGGGTGTCGAGAACATATGTCTTGACTAGTTAAACTATTCTCAGGTTAACATACATCATAATTAACAACAACACCTTTGAGCTCAAGGTTTATGAACGTGATAGTCTTAATCATCGCAACTCGTTAGTCAATTTCTTGAACAAGTAAGAAGCAGAATGTTGTCTCACAATTAAATAGTAAATCAGATCATAAATCTATAGCAGTCTTTGGTGAAGTAACATCAACTCTTTAACTGACTAGGCTTCAAAATTTATTGATCAGTTGATCTTATAATCAGATATGAACAATACCAACAAAAAAATGCAGACATGTTACCAAAATAATTTCTTTCTTATGCATACAATTTTTGAGATGCTAAGAACAGGGGGATAAAATCCCTGCTCGCTTGGGCTTTAAAAATTTCTGCAGTGTTCTGAGGGAGCTTGGAACATTTTGGCAAGAAATAAGCTTTAAGATGCTGAGAGAAATTGTAGAGAGCTAGTAGCAGAATTCTGAAATGTGCAGACAGCAGACCCAATATTACAAATGTGACGGTCCAAAAAAATTAATAACAAATATGATAAAATGTACAATGTGCATTAATTAGTGATTATGACAATTATCTTGGTTAAATATCTGGATAAACCAATAATTAGTGCAAAACTTCATCAATGAAATATGAAAAATCACACTTATGTTATATTTGAAAAAAGTTGTAACATTTTTTCAAATACATAATAATTTTATGCTGTGAGGTAAATTTTCCGAGAAGCATTTACATAAATAGCATAAAAGAAATATGTATTTTTAAATATAATAAGAAGTTTGAAATTTTACAAAATTTCATAATCCAAATCAAACTCAAACTCAAGGTAATATAAAACAGATAAAGAAAAGTCACTATTATGCTATATTTTTTTCAAAAATATGAAAAGTTGTGAAGTGACATTTTCCTTATCTTAAGGAAAAAAAATAAGGGGTAAAAACTTTATCAAGAGATACTTTAAATCTACCCTAGCAAAAGCATTACCTATAGTTATGCAGCCTGAGCCACAGGTTCAGATGCATCTGATGTTTCCAGCCTGTAATTTACAGTGAAAATAACAAAAAATTAAGGGAGGAAAGTTCTCATAAAAAAAAATTAAATTATTCATCAGCTCCTCGTAATAAAAAATAAGGGAGAAAAGTTATGTCAATACAGTGTCATGGAAATTATTTAAAGAACTTTGGCTTGAAACCAATGTTTTAAACGCTTTTGAGGGTTAAGCCCTCACTCAATTCTCAAGGCAAGGCTCGGACTTCTAAACTCTTGAGTTGAAAGTTGTATTCGGATCATGAGAGGCCTTATGCCTCCATTACAATGTGCCAATGCTTGGAGCCTTTGCACCATCAGATGGCTAGAAGAATAATATCAATTTGTTGTCCATTTTTAAGAAATATAAACATTTTTATAATGAAAAAGTCGAGCTTTCAAAGAAGAATGAACGAATACAAAATGGCATAAAAAAAATAACCCAACAAAAGAAGTAAAACTAAAAGAACGAGCTCCAATCTAGAGAAATTAAACCTAAGGAATAATTACAAACATCCACTTTTTGTATTTCTTAAGAAATATAAAGATTCACTTCTGTATTTGTTCTTAAACATTCACTTCTGTATTTGATACTAACATACCATGAGTTAGGTAATTTAGACTTTACCACTAGGATATAAGAAAATAATATTGAAGACATAATTTAAAGAAGGTTTTGTTAGTGATATTAATTATGAGGACAAAATGACCATTAAAATATTTGTGTCAGTCGCAATTCTTAGACAGTTTCTTTCCCCTTTTTATTTTTTTGTATAAGAAACAATTTTATTGATGTGTGAAATTATAAGGGAGAGCGAGCCTTGAGAACCAAAGGAGTCGAAAACTTTGCACTCTGACACCTATGCTTGCCCTCAGGCGTGGACCCAGAAGACAGCAAGTCGGAGGCTTTCCCCTTTTAGTAGAAATACATAATTTTACATTTTTATGTTTTTTATAAAGTTTCTTTCATCTAAAAGCTTACTCCTTAAAGAAAAAAGTCAGAACCCACATTGCTTGAAACTCTACATTAAACATAAACGTTGAAGAGACATGACCGTGAGTTTGGTGTCTAAACCATAGAAGTTTCTTTCGTAACTACAGTTTAGTTTTGATCGATGTAATGTATTAGCTCTTTTGGGAGGGGCCTTCTCATCTCCTGCACTAAAGCGTTCTCCTTTTTGATCTATATATCTGGTCTCTTATAAAAAAATAATAATAAATAAATGAATAATAAACAATTCTGATGCTCAGTAGAAAGTAATCGACTAATGAAAAGTTGTTTCTCGTTAGTCGAAAAGTTGTTTCTTGTCAAGAAAAAGAAAGTAATCATAGTCTCTTCCACCATAGCCAACTTGGAACTCCTTTTCTTACCTTACTAATTCTAGGTTTTGATTTCTTATTTCAGAGAAGTTTCCAAGCCTAGGATGTTACTAATAAAAGTTATATGAGTATGATACGTCAAACTGGACTAAGCATCTTCAAGTAAATAAAGAGAGCGTAGCTGGTCAGTTAAATTCTTCGCTCACAAAGAATGATACGTCAAAAGACCACTATTAATATACGTATGTAAGTAGAGCATATATGTGTACCTTTGAATTCCTTCCCCGACTTCCACTCTTAGAAAGTTCCCAATCTTCACTGGCGAACCCACTTCCTTGGACAGGTTATCCAACAATGTCTGAAAAATAGTTCATTAGAGTTCCATGACAAATATACACGTGTACAACATACTTGACACATAATAATCCATTCTTGGAAGAAATATGCATAGGTAAAATAAATAATTTACTAATAAAAAGTTCCTACTCATTTACCATGAAGTTACAGCTTCAGATATCTCTGTTCAGAGTGGTCTTCTTGTACTTATTTTCAGAGAATTAATCATTTATGGCCCATTTGGTAAGGTTCTTATTTCTCGTTTTTAGTTTTTGAATACACCTGTTTCTAGTTTCTCATTTTTAAGAAATATTTTAAAATTATGCATAAATTTTAGAAATAATCAAGGGGCCGTTTAGTAATATTCATATTTGTTATTTCTCTTTTCCAATTTTATTAAGAAACCTATACATTTTGACAATTATTTATGTCTTTCTTTCTCATTTTCTAGAAACATTCTCAAAATTGTATATAAATTTTAGAAACAACAAAAATAAGTTTATTGTTTATTGTTCCCGTTTCCATTTTTGTTTCAAAACGTAAATAAATATATTGTTTTATCATTCTTGACTTAAAAGAATGCATAATAAACAAGAAACTAGAAACAAGAATATTACCAAATTGGATCTTAAATGCTACTTTTCTATCTTTCCTGTTTCGAATCCTACCTTATGTGCCCATCATCAAACCCGAGACATTTCATAGAAAAAATTGCAATGCAATGCTCTTATCAAGAATAATGGACGAACATTTCTATACAGTCCTTTAGGAGCTTTCCTATTGTCATCATTTCCTTGTCTAATGTCTACTAGAATATCACATTTTGAATCTAGAAGTCCTTATCGAGAATAAAGATAGTGAAAAAAATTTTAACAAGAAACGACTGTGTTAATTATTCTTTATTGCTCTTCAAACACCAAATTTGGATCTCATTAATCATTCCTAGAAAGCAAAGCCAACAAACGAGTGAATTCATTCTCAAACAGAAGATAGTATTTTTTTCTTCTTTGATAAGAGACAGAAACCATCCATTAAACGGAACAAAACAAAAAAACAGCCTAAGGACAAGGGACAAGGAGTCCCTCTCCAAAAAACTAAAAGAGGAAAGCTCTCCAATCTTAAACTATCTGAGAGAGGCTGTAATTACAAAAGAATTTTTTGTTCCTATAGCACCACCAAGAGGCTGAAATATGCACACTATCAAAAAAAAGAATCAAAAGAATTCGCCTTGTCCTCAAAGGACCGACTGTTCCTTTCTAGCCACAGCTGCCAAACCAAAGATCTAACAGCACAACCCCATAATTCCTTTCGAATGCCCTTAAAACACCATCCTTCAAAACACTCTTTAAGCCATTCGTCTATTTTTCTTGGAAAACACGTGGATATAGAGAACAAAACTAGCAGGTTCTGCCACCGCCTCATAGCAAAATGAGAGTGCAGAAAAATATAATCCAGTGTTTCTCCACTACCCAAACAAAGACAGCAAATAGAAGGAGATAAATACCACCCTGGACATCTTTTTTGAAGCCTCTCATAAGTGTTTAGAGCTCTATTTACAAGCGACCAGAGGAAAACCTTAATCTTCCTAGGTACAAGATTCTTCCAAGCTCCTTTGATCAAAATACTCGAGATCTTGGGATTCGACTCCACCAATTTTAAGAAAGAAGATTTTGTAGAAAACAGCCCGTCCTTCTCCAAAGTCCATACCACACTGTCTGACCCTTCACCTAAACACACAAGATCCAAAATCTGGACAAGACTATCCCATGAGGCTAGTTCCCTGTCGAAGAGACCTCTTCTAAAGCCCAAATCCCATCCATTTTGATCAGCATTCCAACAATCTTGTAAAGAAGCATGTTGTTTTGAAGAAATGCTATAAAGGTCTGGAAAAACCCGACTCAGAGGAAGAGCACCAGTCCAAGCATCTAGCCAAAAACGAATGCTGTCCCCTCTAGCAGGTTTAAAAAGCAAGAATTTCTGAAAGAAAACACTCAACTTTGCAATGTCATGCCACGGTCTTCCTCTAGCTCTTCCCTTTGGTTCAAGAGACATCCACCCTCTGGTATCGACTCCATAGATGCTAGCTATCACCCTCCTCCAAAGGGCCTCCTTCTCGTTCATAAACCTCCATAACCACTTAGTCAGCAAGGCTTTATTTCGTTGTCTAAAAGCCCCAAAGCCTAGACCGCCAAGTCTCACAGGTAAAGAAATCTGCTGCCAATTGACAAGATTCCTGCACGGGTGAGATGATCCCCCCTCCCAAAAGAAATCTCTGACTATCTTGTCCAATTCTACTGTCACACTCGAAGGAGCTTCGAGAAGTGAGAAATAAAAGATAGGTAAACTACTCAGGACCGACTGAGCCAAGGTTAATCTGCCCCCTTTTGAGAGTAAAAGCTTCTTCCATTTCTCCATCTTGAGTTTAAACTTCTCCACCAAAGGTCTCCAAAAAGCCATCAAGCAGTGATTTCCACCAAGTGGGAGCCCTAAATATACAAAGGGGACGTTTTTGGCTCTACACCCAAAAAGGCCAGCTTTCAAAGCTACTCTCTGCTCTGTACTGTTCAACCCGATAAGAGAGGTTTTGGCTAGGTTGATTCTCAACCCCGAGCCTTTTGTAAACAAAGAGATAATCTTCCACCAACTAACCAAATTACCTTTGTAGCCCGGGCAAAAGACAATGGTTTCATCTGCATACTGCAGATGGGACACAAGTACCTTCGTTCTTCCCACTTCAAAACCTCGAATCAACCTCTTTTCACAGCAATAATTCACAAGACAACTGAAAGAGTCTCCGATTAAGGTAAAAGGAAAGGAGAGAGAGGGTCTCCCTGCCTAAGACCCCTTTTTGCACGAATTTTCCCCCTCGGCCGACCGTTAATAAGAATGGAAAAATTAGCTGAAGACAAGCATCCTCGGATCCACTTCCGCCATCTACTGCCAAAGCCCTTTTTAACAAGGACCGCATCTAATAAATCCCAATTAACCATATCGTAAGCTTTCTCATAATCGATCTTTATCAAGAACCCCTCCTTGTTTGAAACATTCCACTCCCCCACAAGCATAGCATCCAGGATCTGTCTACCCTCAACGAAAGGCAGAATGGGCATCATCGATAATAAGGTGAAGAACCTTCTTGAGCCTTGCAGCCAAAACTTTTGCTATAATTTTATAAAGCGAAGTAACGAGGCTTATGGGGCGAAAATCACTAACCTTGGTAGCCTGCTTCTTCTTTGAGATAAGGCAAATATAGGTTTCATTAGTGCGTTTGTTAACTATCCCATTCTCAAAAAACTCTTGGAACACACTTACTAAATCTGTCTTCAGAATGTTCCAAGCTTTTTTATAGAACTCGATCGTCATGCTGTCCGGCCCTGGTGATTTTAGATTGCCCAAGCTACTAATAGCTTTCCATATTTCCTCCTCAAAAAAAGGAGCTTCCAGACTTTCTGCCAAATCACTTTGGAGAGGGGACCAATTTAGCCCATCAGCTATAAATCTCTTGCCTTCTGATTTCGCATAGAGTTGATGAAAGAACTCAACCACTTCGTTTTCGATCCCACTGTCAGATTGCAGCTCGTTACCATTTATGTCCCACAAAGACCTGATAATGGCCTTGCTCTTTCTCGCCGAAGCCCATTTGTGAAAAAGGTTCGAGTTTTCGTCTCCCTCCTTCAACCAACTCAGTTTGCACTTTTGGGACCACATCCTCTGCTCTTTCAGCGTTATATCCAGAAGCTCTGCCTTGAGGGACACTCGACGACCCATCGCTTCAACCGACAAGTTTCCGCAGCCTTCTTGTCTATCGATGTCCTCTAGTTTAGCAACAATGTCCCTTTTTGAATTTTCTATCAGCCCAAAAGTTTCTCTGTTCCATATGATAAGCTGTTTTTTAAGGCCTTTTAGCTTTTCCATAAAGACAAAGCCAGGCCAACCCGAAATAGTTTGATCCCCCCACCACGACTCAACCATAGGAAGAAAAGAGGTATGCTCCAGCCAAAACGTTCTCAAATATGAAAGGAGTCAGACCCCATTTCTGGCTTCCCAGATTTAATTGAAGGGGAAACTGAAGTTAAAGGAAACTATTGTGGTTTTATTCCGGCGGAAGTCAGTCCGATGGATGGCCCTAGTTGCTTCCAATCCAAAGTGGTTTCTTTTGAAGATAACAGATGGCTGGCCAGAAAAGATGTCCATGTTCACGGATCTTTCTCGCTGAAGGCAGCTAGAGCTTTTCACCAAGGAAACACAAATCCCGAATTTAGTTTGGTGGACCGATGGAGAATTGAGGAAGGTAATAGTTACCCGCTGGTTAATATCAAATACCCAATCCATCTTTTGAGACATTCAGCAGTGATTGACCCGATGGACACTTTTATACAACAGACTGTTGCTTGCACGAGTTTGGAAAGAAGTGATAAGGTGACAGTGGGGCCCACGACTAAGACAGCAAAACAAAAAGACAAAGTTGACTTCTGCAACGCGGATACGATAATAGTAGGCTGCTGACAGGGTCCTCCTCAAAAGGTGTGAAGATAAACACGAAAGACAAAGAAAAGGCTGTAACAAAAGACAAAAAAAAGGCTGTAACTTTTTCTAAAAACAATCAAACCAGATTGTTCCAAAAGAAAGGGAAAATATGCTTCACGGATTTCGATACAAGTCAGGAAATTGGACAAAGAAATCCCTCCTTAGACAGAGATCTCACGTCTGATTCTTCTGCTCTAAGTGTGAGTAGTGGCTCTAAGTGTGACTAGTGTGGAGGAGGAAATGGTGGAGGCAACCCTTGTAGCACAAACCGAGTTGCAGGGTGAAATACCTGATGGTTTTTTTGCTTGTTTTAGGGAAGAAGAGCAGCAGACATGGCCCCCTCTAGCTTGATGTTGTCTTTGGAGATTGAGGAAGAAAGTAATAAGGAAGAATCTGCCCAAAAAAACCTTGCTCTCCAAATCTCAGAAGAGGTTGACTCAGAGAGTGAGGAAGAAGCTGGAGCACGACCACCTTTCCCAAAAAAATTTGTGAGGG